TCAATAGAGCGCCCTAAAAACCCTCCTCTTTCAAGCTCTATTATTTCTTTATTTGCCTTTATTATAGCCTCCATATTAGACTTATCAATAATTTTTTATTTTATTTTATTTTTTTTATTTTTTTTTTTTGCATCAAAAACTTAATCGGACCCATTGACAACTAAGTCCTTAACAATAAAAACTTTTATCCTCCTCCATTCTCTTCTCAAAATCTCAACTAACCTTCTCTAGATTCTAAAACAAACTCCTATATATAATCAAAATCAATAATAGAATTAGCAAAATTGTTGAGCTTGTGATAAAAAAAAAAAAGGTCAATTTATTTTTGAAAAATAATGGGTGTTATTTGATCAGCGAGTTGAGATGACAATAGTTGTTGATGGCATGGTGGAGGATATGATGACAACTATTAGAGAGAAAAGGAGGAGCAACGACATAAGAGGTAGTGATAAGATTTTAATTTTATTCTTTTGAGTATCATGAGTTTTTTTTTTTTTTTTTTTTTACAAGTTGAGGGAGGCGGATTTCCAAATGATTCTATGGCTAAGGTTGCAAAATGTCAATTTGAAAACCATCACCACCTCTAGCAAATTTTGAGAGACGTAAACAAAATTTTAAATTGGAAATAGTGAAAATTAAATAAAATATCATTTAATGAGTTTAAAATTTTTTATTTGTTATGTTTTGTTTATAATATGAAGTTTGCTTAAAAAGTGTTTGATAAACTATCCAATGAGACTTCTTCATTGAAAATGTTGTATGTTGTTAGATTGTTATGATTACATCCTCATCTCATTGCTTAAACGTTAGTTTGAGTTTTTCGATCATTCTACTTTCACATGTCTCGTCACGTGTCACAAAAAATTGGTCAATGAAAAAGCTGGACTTGATTCCTAACCAACCTATATATATATATATATATATATATATATATTACTCAAATTAAAAAGAAAAAAGAAAAAAAAAGGTTCATGTACTAGTCTTTTTTTATCAAAAATTTAGAATCCTATTGAGACAATTAGTTTTTTTTTTTTTTTTTTTTTTTTTTTTTTTTTTGAAATACGAAAAACTAATCAATTCATTTCTTGAACATAAAAGGACTAATTTATGATTTACTTTGTATAACTATGCAACATATATCATTTTTTTTTCCGTTCAATTGGAAGCTAATTTAAAGGGCCTTAGGCTAAAACATTCTTTTCTATAAATATATATATCTAATATAAGGTAAGATTTGAATATGAGATTTATAGTGAAAATTCAAATCTTAATTGCTATAACGCGACTTTGATGACATGTTGTAACATATAATGATTAAAAAATGGAACACCAATAGGTTGTTGGCCGAGTGGCAAGTGAACTAATCCTCATATACATTTTTTATCAATATGGAAGACTAAAATTTTGAAGTCATATTTGCTAAAAGAAGTTAAATCTTGTTACTCCTCTCGAATGATTAGTTCTATCTCCAATGTGTGATGGAGATACCTAAAAAAACCAAAAAAAAAAAAAAAAAAAGAAGAAGAATAAGGTGAACTATATTTTTAAGCTAAGGTAAATGGTTATATTTCTTTTGAATTATCATAAGACTATAAGCAATGCTTAAATTTTTGGTGATTCGATATAAATCATCCTTTATGTTTTTTTTTTTAAAAAAAATCTGTTCATATTTGGTTTTTGTACTATTTAAATTATTATAATTAATTTAAATAATGATGTTCTAACAAAAGACATTATTAAAATAAAATAAAAAGTAAAAGAACTCAATCAATATAAAAAACTTATGTGAGATTTTAATCACAATAATTTAAAGAATACATGATCAAATAATAGCAAAACCCTTAAAAAATAATAATGCATCAGCTAGTCTTTAAACCCAAAACCCAATATATATATATATATATATAAAGAAAGGCTTTTAATTGACTTGGATTTTAGTTTTTGTTTACACAATAATCATTTTAAATACTTTGATATTTTCATTTCAATGTTAGTCAACAAATTTTTTATTATTTGATAAAATAAATATTCAATTAGGATTAACTCTAATGATTTGTTTGATATTGATATTGATATTGATTTTGATTTTGAATTGAATCATAACTTCAATATATTATATATTTGAATATTATCTAATATTTATTTATTTATTATTATTTGTGTGTGTAAAATTATCTTTGTGAGCAAATGAATTTTTCTTTTACACTAAATATACATTCATCAAAAAGGCATTCTTGGTATAAATGGAGGCAGTTTGGTATACATTGAGTTTCTGTAGTGTTTTCTTAAATTTAGTCAAACACCAAAATTTTTGGTAGTATTTGTAATTTCACCATATTTCTAGAATTGTGTTATTTAGTTTTTCCGATATGAAAATTGCAATATGAACAAATTTATCAATCATAGACAATTTTAAAAATATCAATATATATTTTATATTTTAGACTCCACACATAAGATAAACTAGTTAAATATTTACATTATCATATCATATTTAAACTCGAAGTAGAAGAATATATGGGAAAAAAAATTATGAAGACACCAATTCAAATATAGATGGTTTGTACAATATTGTTGAGAAAAAAAAAAGTTTAATTTGAGTATTTAAAACCAGAAACAATTGTCCCTATATATTTAAAACCAAAAGGAATAAAATAATCAATTATTATCTCTATAACAATTTAAAAATCACTTAACATAAATTAAACTATAGACTACGCGAGTAATTAATCTCATTATAGGAAATTTGAAAACTAATAGGGACTTTAATTTTCGTTAGGAAAAATACTAAGATAGTCTAGACAAAAAATAAAATAATCTAAAAAAATTGTCCTCTTTTGTCTTTTTTGACTTTTTATATAAATTAAAAGTATAATCAATTATTATGATATGTCAATATTTTTTACTCATATTTTTTAAAAATTATATTTGAATATTTTTTATAAATTAAATTTTAATTAAAGATATTTTAGGAAAGTATATCACTTAATATTTTAACCAAATAAATATTTTGGAAAAAATATAAATAGAAAGATAAATATTTTTTTTAAACAAACAAAATAATAACAAAATTAATTTCGAGATTGACGTATAAATTGATGTATTGATATTTTTATTGTTAAAGAAAAGAAAAAAAGAAAAGAAAAGAAAAGAAAAGGTGAATCTTGTTATAATTTGTCCAACCACTTTAATTCAAAAAATCAGTCGGTTTTGGACAATACAACTTTAGGGAGCAACATGAGTTGAACGAATCAAAACGTGACCAACGTTTGGACCCACATGTTATCCCACCTTTGTGTATCTTATGTATGTAATGTTTCTGGTAGCCAAATCATCCTAAAGAAGAGTAAATTATTTATTCAGTCCCTTTAGTTTCAATGAAATGATAACATAGTTCTTCATTCTTTAAATCCCAACTTCTTGTTGACCATCGTCCTATTGAAAAGTTTCTGTTTTTTCTTTCTCCAATAATTTAAATTGTCAAAGTTTCATTTCCAATTTGAAAGAAAATCAACAAATATTTTCATAAAACAACGATTATTCTTAACAAGAGTTAATATATTTTCAAACTAGAAGAACTAAATTATAATTAGTTTAAACAAACAGGGATTAAATACTAATTTACTCCCTCCAGGAATTTCAATATGCACAAATCCCGCGGAGCTTCTTTCTTTCTTTGCTTGCTCCTCCTCGATCCACACTTGATTTCTGACGCCATCTTCTCTCTCTCCTATGATTAAAATAAAAGAAAAGGGCAGCCCATCAACATTACATAGATAGATTGTACTTGCCTCAGTCATTTCTGTCTCCTCTTGAACGTTAAGAATTTATCAAGGCTAGCTGTTCCTCTCTTTCTTTGCTTTGAAGGTAATGAATTATGAATGTTCAAAGTTTTTTTTTTCCTTAATCGTTGTAACATCTGTTCTATCACTTGATCTGGTTAATTTTCCTATGCTTATCCAAATGTTTAATCTTTTCATATTCTTGGATATGGGATTTGTTGTTTTATTGATGTCAATCCAAGAAAATATATAAATGGGTTTAATTCTGTCTTCTTACAAGTCATTAACTAATGCATTTCTCTGTTTGAGTCTGTTTCTTCATTAGTGTACCGTCTATGTTCTGTTAAGGTTTTGTGGTGAGTTTCAAATTCTTTCTTCTCTCTATGTTTTTTTTTTTTTTTTTTTTGGGTGTGGGTTTATGTTTCATTAACTTCAGATTTCTCTTTGCAAGAATTTAACCATTATTTATCTCATGTTATTGTAAACTTTTGATTATGATTTCTGACATATTTTTGCCCTGTTCGACATTTGATGGCAAATCTGCATTTAAGCTTATGAAAATTTTCACTAGTTAGTTTTGAAATTCATTGCTTTCAATTTATTTATTTATTTATTTTCTTTTCTCTGCTTTATGTTTTTAACCATTGTATGGGTGTATACCATTTTTAAATGGAGCAAAGAATACTTTTTGTTTTTTTTTTTTTCAATTATTCTTAGGATTAATTTAGTACAGTAGTGGGTACATCTAAAAAGCTAGGGGTAGCAATGGGGTTGGGAATGCCTTGATTTGGTTTTACTCTAGCACGTTTGGTTTAGGATCCGCATTACAGCCTTTAATACTGCCTATATATTGGGTGTGTCCTTATGCTTGGATTTTTGAAAGTTTTTGTGTCTTATCACTTTGCATCCCTGCCTATTTGTATATAGAGTTTCATCCGGTGTGAATATTTATATACTCTTGTTAAATAAAAGTTTTTGAGCAATTATCAGGGTCAGAAAATATCATTACCTTATGCTTTGTTTTTTGAATTATTGTAATCTGCACTTTCTGAGAATCATTAATCAAATGATTCTGGCAAAATATCCATTTCTTTTATGCATAAGCAATGATCTCACATTGCTATTATTGTTGTTTCCCAGATTCTTCATGGTTTTTTCTTGCTAGCTTGGTGTTCCATCTTCCAGCTTCAAAAAACAAACAACAGGGAATGCAGAAAGATGTGTTTCAACTCTGTTAATTCATCTTATGGAGGCTTTGAAATTCAATTGCCATTGAGGTTGTGCTTATCCATCCCTTATGAGGTTGGATACTCAACACATGACAGATTCACATTTGGGGCTCAAACGGACAAGAAAATCAGAAATATAATTTCTGTTGTGTTGAAGCATTGTCTTGGAGCAGACGATTGAGTTTTCAAGTTCTGAAGATTCTCATCCTGTAAATTATATTTTACAAATATAGTATATCAGGATTTCTCATTGACAATGGAAAATAAGGGGAGTGTGTTGATGGAAAGGTATGATTTTGGGAGATTGCTAGGCCAAGGAAACTTTGCTAAGGTTTACTATGGGAGAAACCTGAAAACTGGCCAGAGTGTGGCCATCAAGGTCATTGACAAAGAGAAGGTTCTGAAAGTAGGGCTGATGGATCAGATCAAGCGAGAGATATCTGTCATGAGAGTGGTTAAACATCCAAATGTACTGCAACTATATGAGGTTATGGCCACAAAAAACAAAATTTACTTTGTTATAGAATATGCAAAAGGTGGGGAAATCTTTAATAAGGTAGCAAAAGGGAGGCTGAAGGAAGATGTTGCTAGGAAGTATTTTCAACAGTTAATAAGTGCAGTTGATCTTTGCCATAGCAGAGGTGTCTATCACCGAGATTTGAAACCAGAAAACTTACTACTGGATGAGAATGGAGGTTTGAAGGTGTCAGATTTTGGCTTGAGTGCTGCTGCTGAGTCTAAGCGCCAAGATGGTTTGCTGCACACATCTTGTGGAACTCCTGCATATGTGGCTCCTGAAGTTATTTATAGGAAAGGCTATGATGGGGCCAAAGCTGACATCTGGTCTTGTGGGGTGGTCTTATTTGTTTTGCTGGCTGGTTATCTCCCATTTCATGACATAAATCTGATTTTGATGTACCAGAAAATAAGCAAGGCAGAATACAAGTTCCCTAATTGGTTTTCACCAGAAATGTGCAGGCTGCTCTCAAGAATGCTTGACCCTAACCCAAGAACTAGAATATCCATCACAAAAATAATGGAAAATTCCTGGTTTAGAAAAGGATTCAATACTGATGCAGTTAAAACTAAAGATGAAGTGACAGAATTGGATCCTTTGGCTGCTGATGCAACATTTGATTTTTGTGAGAATGATATTGCTCCTGCCGAAGCCAGGAAAGAGTCGAGCCAGCCTACCATTTTGAATGCCTTTGATATCATATCTCTTTCATCTGGGTTTGATTTATCTGGTTTGTTTGCGAAAGATAACCAGAAGAAAGAAACCAAATTCATATCAATGCACTCTGCCTCAACGATTACATCTAAACTGGAGGACATTGCTAGGCTTCTGAAGCTAAAAATAAAGAAGAAAGATGGAGGGCTGTTGAAGTTGGAGAGATCAGAGAAAGGTAGAAAAGGGGCGCTGTCCATTGATACAGAAATATTTGAGTTCACTCCATCTTTTCATTTGGTAGAGGTGAAAAGTTCTAGTGGTGATACACTGGAATACCAGCGGATACTGGAAAATGGAATAAGACCAGCTCTAAAGGACATTGTTTGGGCATGGCAAGATGAGCAGCAGCAGCAACACGTGCTTCCTTCCTAGTTGTGCCTGCATTGTGAGTAATTGTTTTGCTGTTTGAATATCCAAATCTATTTCATAAATTTATATGGATCTGTCACTGTCCTATTTGTGCTTGGAAACAACCATCATTCAACATTCTTAATGGTTTGAATATCCAAATTTATTTCAACCTTTCACCATCATATTTGTGCTTGTAAACAACCATCATTCAAGTTCTTAATGGTTTTTGGTGCTCCATTTATCTTCTTTTTATCATGTTTTCTTGGAATTTTGCTTTCATAATAGTTATTGCTGCTCCTTGAGCTTCTTCAAACGAGTTAGCTTATTTAGGGGCTTGCATTATTGTCAGCACTGCTTGTGTTAATGCCAAAATCGCAATGATCTTTGTTAAATGTTGGATGGTCGAGAAATGATGAACTGAATTTGGTATTGTTTACTTAAGGTGTGTTGCAGGTTGTTTTGTGCCTACCTCAACTAAGAGGACTTGGATAAAAGCTGATTGAGTGGCATGCAGTAGGGTAGCATAACTCCTAGAATTCAATGTTTTTACTCTCGAATAACTATTGTTCTTCTACTATTGTATGCGAGGATTTGTTTTTGGTTATTTTATCTACAATAAACAACAATACAAATACGAAAATTAAGGCTGCAGACCTCAACCTAAAGTCTTAAACATGCTCCATTAAATAGAGAACACTGAGCACAAATTGAACTGCATATTACTTTACATCTGTATGTTCATAAAATGATAACATCAGTATGTACATAAAATGGAGTATTGGAAACTAGTGCAAATGCAACTGAAGGAACTCGTTGCAAGCATAGAAAGGACCGATCTCCAAGATAACCAAACTAACCTGGTGCACTACTATAAGCCTAATGTTATTGCCTATGGATTACAATTATGCCCACTCACGAGCCTACTAAGAATTCCGGTAGTGGAAACTGGGTTCTGAAGAGGGATTTTTGCAGTTGTTGGATTGTCTGTTGTTGTTGATGTCTCTGCTTCCTTCAGTCTTGTCTTGTATACTCCTAAATTCTTGCGTATCACGCAACCGCCTAGGTCTCTGCTAGCTGTCCTGCTTTCTTTCTACATCTTCCTTGAATTTCTTCTATAATTTAAGAGGATAAAAGTATGACAAAATAAGCGATATTGATGGAAATGGAAGCGGCTGAAATTAGAACAGAATCGTTGCACAGAATGGGCTAGTTGTTGTTGTGAACCTTGTTCCGAATCTGAAATCATTTTGATAACATTTGGTTCCATAACGAAGTTGCATAAGAGCACTTCTGGCATTACTAGGACTCACCATTGAATCACAAACCATACTGTTATGGTTTGACCATATGGCCACTTCTGGCAAATTACAATACAGATATGGTATTGGTGTCTCCCACGCATATTTGAGTCGAAGAAAAACTGCCTTCAAAACTTACCAATCCATCCCGATCTGGTGTAGCTTGCAACTCTTCGCTGTAACATTGATTATTACAGGAGCTGTTGCAGCATTCTGATCTATTTAAAGAGTTTTTTTTTTTCCTCCATAATAAGGTATTTTTAAATCATATTTACCACAATAGGATTGTTTTAAATTTTTTTTTAAATCAAAATAAGGTAATTTATGCCATAGAGGAATCATCTCATTTATATAACTTAATATGTCAGCTTTTTTCTTTAATTATTTTATTAAATAAATATTTTATCATCTCACTTTTTTTTTATAACTATTTTCTATTTATATTAGTATGTTCTTCTTCTTATTATTATTGTTTTCTTATCTATCTCTATCCTTTTTCATTTCAGCTTATAATAATTTATCCTTTTTATCACCCATCGATTTTCATTTTGGTTTTCTCTTTTGACAAGACCTTCAAATGCATTTCCAGGTGTTCATAATCCTTTTCTCCCTCCACTCCTTTCACATGTGAAAACATTTGGGTCCTTCCATTTAAAGAAGAGGAGGAAGAAGAAGAGAGGCATCATGTTGATTTTGGGATTTCTCTTGTGTGGAAATGCAAAACTGGTTTTGCAAGTATGAAACAAGAAAAAGCCATTTGCGCCACCCTGTGTGATTTGAGAAGAGGTGAGGAAGACCCCTGAGTGTTTAAGCCTACAATTACAAACAGCTTTATATTATGTTCTGCAGAACAAAAGGGCTTGAAAATTTCTCAAGTATAATAAAAATTACAGAGGATTTCTCTATAAATTGAACATAATTTATTTTTGTTAATCTGAAAAGGAACAACAGAAAGAGAAAAAAGAACGATAAAAGAAACTAGATCGAAAAAGAAATTTAGAGGAACAAAGAAGATGAAAAAAAAAAAAAGTTTTGGGGCTAGCCACCAATCATAGTTTGGCTAGCAGTAGCCCCTAGACCTAAAAAGATGAAAGCTTTTTTATTTTTTTCTTTTAAAAAGAGAGGCTTAGCATTTTTATATTTTTTAATTAATAAAATATCTAAAATGAAAAAGAAACTATTTAATGTAATGAAATTATTTTTCAACAATTAAGAAAAAAACAATGTGGATGAAAAAATCTCATGTGGCAAAAAAATATTTTTATTTTGAGAATAGCATTCCAATTAAGGAACAAAAATTTTAAAAATGTATTGGTTTGAAAAAAAAATTCTATTTAAAAAATTCTAAAAGATGTGATGGTGAGACTGTTCAACCTCACTCGTTAACACATACTCAAATAATCGTGGACCATCACTTAATTGCACTCGTTTAACTTCTTTGCATGCATCTTAATTTTTCTTTGATAGTGTGAATGAGGGGTGAGCATTCGGTTAAACGGTTCGGTTTTGTACGATTCGGTTCGGTTTTTGGTTAACCGAATTAAAAAAAATAAAAACCAAAATCGAACCGAAATAAATTCGGTAAATTCGGTTTGTAACCGAATTATTTCGGTTTGGTTTCGAAATATTTCTGTTTTAAGCAAAATATTTGCTATATAAAAAAAACTCATTACAAAGAGATGTTTTGTACTAGTACTTAGTTCACTAGCCAATGAAGTAATATTTTGTTATCAATTAATCCTTTTTATAAACAATCATAAAGCCCTTGAAGATTTTAACTAATCTTTAATGAAAACGAGTCCAAGTGTAATAAATTTGCTCATTCAAACACACCGTATCCCAATTGATTACACTCTGTCACTTTCTTTTCTTATCCCAACGGTTCTCAAAATTTACTTTCCATCTGCGTGTTTCAGTTTCAACAAGAATGAAGATTGAAAAGTTAGGGATTTAGAAATTAGGAAATTTTTTACTTTTTATTTCGGTTTTCGGTCGAAACCAAAATTTTTTTTCTAAAAACCGAACCGAAATGAAATAATTTTGGTTTTTTTTTTCGATTTTATATTGTATAATTTTATATTTAAAACCGAACTAAAATTCATAATTCGATTCGATTTTATTCAATTTTCGATTAACCGAACCGTTTACTCACCTATTGTGAATGGCTCGCGGTTGCTTGATGCTGCATGATTCTCCACAAGTTCATTCTAATATGTTTTAAAATGTTACTTTTCATTTGCTTTCCTTTTCATTTATTTCTTAGAATTTGTGCCAGGCAAGTTGGCTTTTTTATTTTTTCACCCTTATGTTTTGAGCCAATTTTCTTTTATGCCATTTGTTCTTATGTCATGTTATTTATTTTCCCCTCCGTTTGTTTCCTTTCGTTTTTATCCCTTTTGGTCCTTTTGTAAGTTTCTTTCCTTTTTCCACAACATTTAATGGTGATACGAGGATTGTGTTTTTCCTTCTTTTTTTTTTGCTCCCCTCCAGCATTTGACGTAGAGAATTGCCTGTCTTAGGGGCCCGATGAATCATTGATCTAATGATGTGTATTTTGATTTGCTCTGTCCGTTTCTTCTCTAATATTTATACTTTCTTTAAAAAAAAAAAAAAAAAAAATCTTCTCAAGAATAAGAAAAAAATTCGTCTGTGAAGTTTATAAAGATTTTAATATCAATTGCTGTTTTAATACAATATTGTGAAAAAAAAATTAAAGTATTTTTAAAATTTTAGATTAAATTTTTTATTTAAATTATTGCAATTTTTTTATCTTAAAAATTAATTTATAAGAAAGAAAAAATTGTGTTCTTTAAGTACAAAATTTATGAAAACTATAGGAAAAATAAATTAAATATAAAATTTTAATTATTTTTTTAAAAAAATTGTTTTTTTTTAACTTTTGATTTAATATATTTTAGTAAACCCGTAATATAATACATACTATTAAATTAAAATATTTTTTTAAGTTAATTTTATTTGTTCTATACGGTTCGTGACAGATAGCGCAACAATTAACTAGTACTATTTATAACATGTGACGAATAGGACCATAATAGAATTATGATAGTACCATAACACTATTCTATATACAATGCTAGATTTCCCCTTAAATGAATTAATTCAGTTAATTTTTTTATGTGATAATCCATATTATTTTGTTTATTGGTTTTGAGATGAGTTCAAGCGAAACCACAAATATATTAGACTAAGGATGGACCTCGTTCGAACAAGGTTTTAGGTTGCAAGTATGGATACGGGTATTCTAGCAAGACTAGCGTTCATGCATTATTAATTAGAATATTTTAGAGAGATTGACGTAGTAGGTTCGGAGCGGAATCTACAAAATGAAGGCTCCATTGTTTTTTTTTTTTTTATTTTTACTAGTAAGTTGAATTTAGTTAACAAAAAAAACCTAGTTTTTTTTTAACTTAACTTTGATCATCCAAACTTAGATGACATGACACAATTTTCGCGATCAAAGGTATCTTTTTTTTTCTATAAACACCAACTTTGTCACACGGTGACCTTTTGACGATCGTAAAAATATATGAGTTTGGAAGGTGGATTGCCTCTCGGATTTCTAAAAAAAAAAAAAAACAACCTAAAAGACTCGGTTACGAGAGTTTTAGGTAAAGAGGTTGATTATACAATAAAAGAAGACTAATGTCTCTCTAATGTGTCCTCATAATGAAGTTACTACTCATTTTTAACCCATGAAAATTTATTTATGGAAAATCCAATTTGTATCCACTTGTCTATCGTGATTTATGACTTTGATTATTTGGACTTTTTTTTTACCAAGTTTTAAATCGGGTGATTTGGAGATTGAAAACAAATTTAGTTTCTCGCCTCAATTGTCATTGGACTATTGGAGTCCATTTGAAAAGTAAATATCGAATCTTAAAGCCTATTTACAAATTAAGCCATCCAAATCCCATACAAGAATATAAAAAATAAAATATAACCAATTTGATCCATAAACTTAAGTTCACCTACCAAATGATGCAATAAAAATTAAAAGTCCATGAAAACAAATATTCAAAAGTATGGGCATGGCCTTAAGCCCATATGAACTTGCCATACCATTTAAAAATAATAAATCGAGCCCCAAAGTCCAATGTTTAATTAGAACCAAATATGCAAGAAGGCAAAATTAGTGGCACTAAGAAAAGAAAAGAAAAGAAAAGAAAATAATCATTCCAAATAAACAAGAATAATAATTAAACAAAAATAAAAATATGTAATAATAAAAAAAGCTATGTCATTGGAACAAAGTTGGGTTTAGGTTTCAAACCTATCCATCTAGACTTACCTAAACCGAAATTACATCAAATAAACACACAAATACAAGATATAATAAAATTAAATATGCCGAACAATAGATCATGTAAAGATAACTCTATAGAAAATAAAATAGCTAATTGCCCCTACAAAGTCCTTGGCCTATTAATTCATATTGGCTTATTTTACTTTCTCCTTGTCACTACATGACATTATGGGACTTTTGAGATTTTTTGACTAAGAAATAAGAATTAAAAGGGTTTTTAGAGTTGTTAACTAGTATTAAAGGAACTAAGAAACCTAAGAAAGCTACTGAATTGCGAGATTTTAAATAAGAAATTGGTTATGTTTTTTGAAAGATAACAATCACCTAAAGATATCTTTTTTTAGAAAAAGATATCGATTTAATCTAATCCTAAAAATATATCTTAAAAAAGCTATGTTTGCCAAATTATTTACTAGTCTATTTTCCAATATTATTTGTCATCTAGGTTAAATTGATTTTTAAATTTTTTAAATTTTTTATTGTGAAATCATAGTAAATTGATGTCGGGCCTTGAAATTGGGAGTCTTGTCAATTTAGCATCGGATCCAATTACATCTTGACATGAATGATATGTCGAGGAACAACATAGTCAATTAAGGATGTTTGAATGACTTAATCAACCAAGGATGTTTGAATGACTTACATAGATCTTAACTAATCATTTCCATTTTGATTTTTTTTTTAGAGGATCGAGATTAAGATCAATCTCTTTTTAAATAGGAAACTCATTAATTCAATCGAAATTTTCTCCCTCTCATAAGATGATATTTTCTTTTCCTAATTATTAATATAACTTGATATGGGATTGTCATCGGTCTCTAGGATCTAGGAGACTTGATGATCCCACGA